TATATTTGGTTTGTATATTTTGAAGTTTTCCTTCAATCCTAATTCTATAGTTGACTTGTAGTTCTCTATTAAGCTAGAATGAGTGTGTGAATCCTGACGAGAGTCGGGCAGGCGTCCCGTTGATATCCTAAGGTTCGTCCTAGGGAGAGATGGGGCCATCACATCTAGAGCATACACTCTGGTTGGCACCCTCGACCTATTCCCTCCTACATTTGTCTGGTTAGGGTTCTACCTGTCCGACCGTAAAGCATCGCCTCTATCCATGAGCGGACAGTTAATAATTCGATGATCAGGACTCCCACAATGCAGACATTTCTGTGTCTTTCGCTAGCACTTAGTTTCAGAATGGTTTGTCTTCCCACAGTAATCACAAGTTATACGTGAAGCCGATGCTTGGCCTACTCATGAGGCATATCTCATTTGTCCTCTTCCACCTGAGGCTCCTCTCGGATAACCCCTAGATGTCCCTGAAATTCTTCCACCACTAGTTCTTCGACCCACTTTAGGGGGTGTCATACCCCGATCACCTTGTCCCTGCCCCTGACCACCACTAGGCGAACCTCTCTTTCTTGCATGAAAAACCTTCACTTGTGCCCTTGCAATTTCAATCCTTTGGGCTTTCTCAAGAACCTCCGTGAAAGTATTAATTTGTGCCATCACTAAAACCTCTTGTATTTCTACATTCAGCCCTTGTACAAACCGTCTCACTCTTCTTTGCTCCATAACTACCAATTCCAGAGCAAATTTAGATAATTTGATAAACTGAGTCTTGTCGCGCTCCATTTTTTGAAAAAAATATAATTACGCGTTTATAAAAATGATTTTTTGATTAATTTTGAGTTAAAAATGAGTTTCTTTTTATTTTTAGAGAATAAATAAAGAAAAATGGCCTAAAATGGGACTTTAAAAAATGCGACGATTTTGGCCCAAAATAGTAGTTTAAAAAGGGTTTTTAAAAAATAGGAGTCGCCACTTGGTATTGAGTTAAGGTGTATCAAGTCACCTAAAATAAATTTTAAACAAAAAAGTAAAGAAAACCCTTTTTAAACGATTCCAAATCTTCGAAAATCAAAAGAAAAGTATTTGGGAATCACGTTTGAAGAAAGGGAAGGCAAGGATAAAATCCAAAGCACCCTTTCAACCTAGTCAGATTTAGTTGCGTGATTTAGTCGGAAAATTTTCTTAATTTAACCTAAAAACTTATCACATTTGGATGTTACTATATGGATGCAAACCTAGACCTAATGGCTATCGGAAGGGTCAATATGTCTATTCGAATTTTAGTTGGTGCAAATCGCATTAATTGCTATACCCAAAAGTGATTCTTTGAAGAGGTCACGAATATACAACAATGAGATTTGAAAAAAAAATAGAAAAGGTGCGTACTTTATCGCACTCGTTCTAATTTCAAATGAATGATTGAAGTGTATTGAATGAATGAAATGTAGTGAATGAATGAATGAAATGAAATGTTATGTCATGAATGCATGTGTCGTTGGAGTGAACCTCCTCGACTTTCAAATGAATGGGGGACGCCCAAACTCATAGGCCGACCTTGGACTCGAGCCGGCAATGGGCTTGGTCGGGAACCTAGGCGAGCCATGAGATATATAAGCTCGACCTAATAAGAGGTCTTGCTTGGCATACTCGTAGAGTATCGCCTTATAATAGACTTGTGGGCCCTTGGGGTGTACGGTGGACGGAGGGAAGTAAGTGGTGATCTACGGAAATGGAAATACCGACCCGGTTGACAGGAGGGTCAATGCGGGAAAGTATACGAATGACATCGGCAGAGCGAGTGGAACTTAGCTCCTGAGAGCTACTATATCCTTGAATTGTTTCTGATTACTTTTCCTGTTCGAATGGTTGATTATTGAAACATCACGGTTTTATGAAATAAATTTGGGATTGCTATTTGAACAATGTGCTTGCATGTGTGTTCTTGGCCTCACGAGCGTTTTGCTCACCCTGTAGATTTGTTTTCCTTAACAGGATTGGACTTGGAGAAATGTTGGAGAAACCCCTCTTGGCGTACTCTTGTTTTTAGGGTTTCCGTTGCACTTTGGGGCTAGACTTGTGATTGATATATATATTTTTTGAATATTGATGTATTTCGAGATTCCGACGTAATGATTGGGCAGATGTTGAATATTGATAAGCTTGAATGCTTACGCACTGATTGTATTTATGATATTTAATCGTAATGTCTAGTATTGTATTAAGTTTGAACGGAAATTGCTTGAGTCCTGGCGAGAGCTGGGCAGGCGTTCCGCGGATACCCTTTGGTTCGCCTTAGGGAGAAGTGGGGGCGCCACACTTTTACTAAGGAATGGAGGGATGCCAAGTTTTTAGAAATCATTCCAAGATTTTAATTCCCATTCCAGTGAACCAAACACCAACTATGGAGTTTATTTCATTCTTTCGTTCCGATACCCTTTTATCAAACACTCCTGAATCTTTTTGAATGATAACAGTGTCTGGGATATGGTATAACCCAACCAATGATGACTACAAGGTAATAATAGGGCCGGAGGAAGATCCTGCTTATTTGTATAGTTAAAGTTACAAATTTCTAATCTGGTTGCTAAATTTAAAAGCTATTCTGCTGTGACACCTATATATTTTTCTTACTATGCCTTTGCAAGCATTACAATTAGTGACCAACCCGAGAAGATGATTGTGCCTTTCTTGCAAGTCACACGGTGAAATATATTTCTGACTTAACAGCTGTAATGAGTTTTGTGACACACTTTATCAAACAATGGCTGACTCTATTCAAATGCCTTGAAACCAAAATAATTCGGCGGGACAGAGAGAGTCCTTCAACTTCCTAATATCTCTTTTATGAAAGCCATCTCCAGCAAGGACCCCACACAGCAAATGCCCACATATGCACACTATTATGTAGACTTCCAGTACGTTGTCAGGCAAGATCTTACCTGGGCAGAAATCACTGTAGTTGTCTAGTGAAGAGCTTGCCTGCAGTTTGCTGTAAAGCAGGAAAATTTGCTTCAGAAATCACTATTCAATTTGTCAAGCGAAGAAGCATAATAGAAAGGAATTGTTTTACGTAAAACTGAAGAAAAATGGGAAGGCAATGTAAGAAATCACTATTCAATTTCACTAACATCGTCCCCATTCATTATATTAGATACCAGACCTAGTAGGAAGTTTACGTCTACATACAACAGATATATTTTCTGCAACTTTGAACATCTAGACATCAAAAAGTTGAGCAACAGTCTTATACTGACTTGTAACTGACATGCAGATTCAAAGAACTGGAATGGATTGAAAATGATAAACTCTCAACACTTGCTGATAAGCATTCTTAAGGACAAAGGAGACCCAAATCTATTATCCTTTCTCAAAGCATATCTAACATTTTGATCCTGCACCATCAGCCCTAACAAATAAACTCGTACAAGGTCTACAAACCATAATCTAATTCAATATAGCTTCCTCACAACTGGTAGAGCAGAAAAATTTAGACCTGATTAGTCTATAATGAAAAATTTGCTATAGTATAAGTCAGAATTAAAATTTCATCTTTATTGCACATATCCATTTATGCTAACATCAGCAACCAATTCAAATGCAATGAGAACAAGAAGGACAGAGACATACTTTTTAGAAATAGTTCTATCTTTTACGTAGAAGGGCAAAAATGATATGGTACTACATAAAATAAGATTAATCAAGTGACGCCTAAGGATCCATAAAGCAGGTAGACATCTCAATTTTGGATGTTACGAAGAAGATCATCACCTATACCTTATCAACTCCAGACTGGATTTCATATACTGAAGCTTCAGGAAAAACAAATTGCCATCTCATTTCTGAACTAAAGGATGAACAGAATAAACCATAAATCCTTTCAACCTTCTAAATATGAGAATACTCCATGGGACTAACTTAGGAGCACCAAAAGAAAAAGAGCCCATGCGTAGGTCAAGCAGGATTATGTTTGGTAGGCGGTGCAACGAGGGAGAGGCATAAAAAAATCAAGGCACTCTAAATAATCATGCTCTATGATGCTATAAAAGCTTACAACCCGTACTAATTACTAAATCACATTTGTGCACATTATGTTTGTGGGTCTAACAACTGAAAATAATTAAAGGCCCCTGCAATCCAGTTAAAGGTATATCAAATATTTCTAGAAAATGTTTGGGTGAGTCAAACAAAATTTTACAACAACAATTTTCTGCAAATAGACAGAGATAATGCAGAAGCCAATAACCTAGATGCATGCAAATGAAGAGCTAATAATAGACATGTTAATGGCATCTATTAGCAATCTCATTCCAGCCTTGGCACCTGTCTCCAGTCCACCCACCTCCCCCCCTGCTCCCTCCCCACCCCGTACCACAAAATCAAAAAAGAAAAGATAAATAGGAAAAAATCAAAAAATCATGAGAAGAAGAATAAGAAATCAGCAAAAGGTATTGGTACACATCAACTCTACCACTACCTCAAGTGCAACTCAGGATACCATCAAACTGCTGTTAAATCATCTTCACTATTGAAACCATAACCAGCAATGTTCCATCTGAACAAAATTGCATATACTGAATTGGTTGCTATTCAAATGGTTGTGGCTCATAATCATGCAAGAAACAGAGTTAAGATAACATCCAAACACTGGAGACCACTTGAGAAAACAAAGTTTTATCTGTTTTTTCAGTAACAGAACAAGATGAACTGCAAGTGTATTGTGGACACCCGTATTTGCAGTCCCGTAGCCAGTAGGGGCTAGCACAGATTAAGATTATTACATAGAATAATGAGATTAGCATGAACATGGTTAAGTATGTTACTCTATTTGCTTTTTAATCCTGCAGAATTGTTCTTCCCCTTTGAATAGGATAGTGTTAGGGGGCTGTGTCAGGGTAGAGGGGAATTTTACAAAACACAGGGGACACAAGCATGGTGGGGTATTCCCACCTTACTATAGCATGTGAAGAAGCGCTGAGCTTCCCCGGACCGAGCTGATTGGACTAGCTCGGGGTGCTGATGGAAGAGTTGGTCCTAAGCCTGCAAGACAAACAGGAACAAACTAGAGGAGGGGGACCGAGGGTTGTCCCCGAGGGCACTCCGACGGTCAAGTCGTCCATGCGCAAGCGTTTCAAGGAGTCGTCCCCCTCGGGGGGTGGTCGCTTGTTCTTCCGAGCTGTATGACTGTCCCCCCCCGTGGGGCCTCCGGCGATGGTGTTTATCACTCCCGTCAAGTTCTGGGTGTCCTGGTCGGGAGAGTGGCCCCGAGGAGCGTCACGCCGCTCCGGGCAGTCACGACGCTGTCCCTCACGGCTGTCTCCATAGTAAGGGCGCCCGGACTCCTGGCCCGACCTGCCATGGCGTACGAACCGTCCCAGAAAACCGCGCTGGATCAAGTCCTCGATCTCCTTCCGTAGGGCCCAGCATCCCTCCGTGTCGTGTCTCACGTCACGGTGAAAAGCACAGTACCGGTCCTGGTTCCTCTTGTTCCGAGGTGTCCCCATTTTTGGCGGCCGATCTCTCAACCCTTCCGCCTCCATAACAGCCAAGATCTGTGCTCTAGGCCGTGTCAGAGGGGTGTAGCTCTTCTCCGGGAGTGGCGGTGGAGCAGGTGCCTTCTCCTTCGAGAGCCGATCAAAGACGGTCTTCTTGGCCGGGACGTCCTTGCCCTCTTGGGGGTTCGTCCGACCCTTCCGATCTCCGAGCTCCCGATCTGATTTCTTCTTCAGACGGCCTGCCTCCTCCGCATTAGCGGCCGCGTGTGCCCGGGTTAGGAGCTCCTCCAGATTTACAGGAGGCTTCTTGGCCGGCTCGTAGAAGAGCTCCTCTACCCTGAGCCCGTTTGTGAAGGCGGCCATGACCACCTTTTCATCTTTGTCCCTGACCTGCAAACTCTCCGCGTTGAAGCGGGTCATGAAGTTCCTCAACGACTCATCGGGCTTCTGCCTGATAGACATCAGGTGGGTGGCGTTCTTCGCATAGGTTTTCGAGGAGACGAACTGGGCGACGAACTACCTAGCCAGCTCGGGGAAACTCCGGATAGACCCTGGTGCCAAGCCTTGGAACCAGAGCCGAGCTTTCCCCTTCAGGAACATAGGGAAAGTCTTGCAGCGGATCTCGTCTGCAGAAGTCTGCAGTCGCATGTGTGTCAGGAAGACCGAGAGGTGGTCTTCCGGGTCAGTGGAGGCGTCATACATCTCGATGCTCGGGATCTTGAACCTCCGGGGTAGGGGGTAATCCTCTATCTCCCTGGGGTAATCCTCCGTCATACATCTTGGAGTTTTTTTAGTATAAATTTCAGGGGCTAGATCGATTCCTATGAATTTTGCTAAATTTTCAAATTTCAATGAAATCCATGACTGTTTTGCTCTGTTCTTACTAAAGCAGTGATTTGGAGCTCAAATTTGATTGATTTCTGATTTGAATCTAGAAAAAGTGTCTTCTAGGGAGTTTTAGTTCATTGAGTTTATTTTCCAACGGTATAATATTTACAAACTTTGGATGCATGAAACTCAAGTTATGATTTTTCAAAAAATATTGCCAAAATTGAATTTTCCTTGTAAAGAGGCAAAAGCTTAAAAAGTGGCTTGGGAACATTTTCTAGGTTTCAAGCTTAATTTTATTGGTTATTTGCACCTCATTTCATACTTGAGAAATGGATTTCATCTCCTAGTCTTGTGCCCTCGGTTTCCATAAAAATGAACCATAAATGGAGCGTTTTAACTACAGTAATTCTTAAGGAACTTCACTAGCTTTATTTTTGAAACTTGGAACTTTTAACTTCAATATTTACTATGAAAATAAGTACCGTTTTGATGGATTTTGACTCCATAAGTTTAGAAAACGTGAACGCTCATTTATATTCTAAAACTTGGGCATAGGATTAGAAGTTTTAAGATATGAAAGCCATTTTCCTTTCCTTGATTTTCGTGCCAAAACTAAGTATGATACTCCCCTTTTGGAATCAAGATTTCTTGCCACGACTTGACTCGAAAATGACTTTTGAGTTCCTCTTGAGTATTATTTCAATGATTAAGCGAGAAAGCTTTTTTAACTCGACCTGAACTTGTGGCTTTGAGCGTGGGTAGCAAGAGAATATTTTTCTTCTTAGCCTTGGTCGAGTACCTAGGTAACCGTGATTGTGCATGTCTCAGGTGATCACATGGATGCCGAGGAGCTTGTCTGACCTCTTGCTTTTGCTCTTGCTTTGCCCTTGACTTTTGGTGAGTGTCAAGTGCATGCTTCATGTTGCAATGATTGAAATAATTTGTACAAGTGCTATGTGATTCGTGAACTTGCCGAGACAAAGGTATACTTTATCGCATTCGTCCTCTCTCTCTCTTGAATGCTTGCTACCTGAAATATGAATTTGTATGACTTGCACTTGTACTCAAACATGCTTTTAACCCGTGAGCACTGAGCGGTAGCATGTACCACACCCTATTCGAGTGGGAGGTGCCTCTCATTCCGACTCAATGCTATGATCAATTCTAAGTCAATTGGAGCATTGTCTCATCGACCAATTGTACTTGTGGGGACGCCCAAAACCCAATGGTTAGCGATTCAACTCAAGCCAACAAGGGCTTGATTGAGGAGTTTGGTGAATCTTGGGCTCGTGTACTTGACTTGCCTGGATATACTCAAGTAATATCACATCTTGTTTGACGTGCGGGCCCGGCAGGGGGTGTAACGGTGGATGGAAAATGGTGAAAAGTGGGATTCTATGGACTTGTTACTTGCTTGGTTGATGGAGTGTCAACATTTGGAAATTGTGATTCAAAAGTGTCGTGAAGCAGTGTGGATTTAGGTCCTGAGAGCTCCTGTATCATTCCAATTTGTGTTTTACTTCTTATTTGTGCACTTAAAATGAAATTTCCTATTAAGTCGCTTTTAAGTGTGATATTTGATTTAATTTCTGCTACTTGCTTACTTGCTTGATTTTCTTGGCCTCACTGAGTGTTAACTCACCCTAAGTTGTTTTCCTTAACAGGTTTTGAAAGTGGAAGTTGGGAGTTATAGACTAGCGACTTTTGGTTGAAGCTAATGAACCTTTTGTATGATATTGAAGACATTTGAAGTGTAAACTTTGTTATATTTGGTTTGTATATTTTGAAGTTTTCCTTCAATCCTAATTCTATAGTTGACTTGTAGTTCTCTATTAAGCTAGAATGAGTGTGTGAATCCTGACGAGAGTCGGGCAGGCGTCCCGTTGATATCCTAAGGTTCGTCCTAGGGAGAGATGGGGCCATCACATCTAGAGCATACACTCTGGTTGGCACCCTCGACCTATTCCCTCCTACATTTGTCTGGTTAGGGTTCTACCTGTCCGACCGTAAAGCATCGCCTCTATCCATGAGCGGACAGTTAATAATTCGATGATCAGGACTCCCACAATGCAGACATTTCTGTGTCTTTCGCTAGCACTTAGTTTCAGAATGGTTTGTCTTCCCACAGTAATCACAAGTTATACGTGAAGCCGATGCTTGGCCTACTCATGAGGCATATCTCATTTGTCCTCTTCCACCTGAGGCTCCTCTCGGATAACTCCCCTAGATGTCCCTGAAATTCTTCCACCACTAGTTCTTCGACCCACTTTAGGGGGTGTCATACCCCGATCACCTTGTCCCTGCCCCTGACCACCACTAGGCGAACCTCTCTTTCTTGCATGAAAAACCTTCACTTGTGCCCTTGCAATTTCAATCCTTTGGGCTTTCTCAAGAACCTCCGTGAAAGTATTAATTTGTGCCATCACTAAAACCTCTTGTATTTCTACATTCAGCCCTTGTACAAACCGTCTCACTCTTCTTTGCTCCATAACTACCAATTCCAGAGCAAATTTAGATAATTTGATAAACTGAGTCTTGTCGCGCTCCATTTTTTGAAAAAAATATAATTACGCGTTTATAAAAATGATTTTTTGATTAATTTTGAGTTAAAAATGAGTTTCTTTTTATTTTTAGAGAATAAATAAAGAAAAATGGCCTAAAATGGGACTTTAAAAAATGCGACGATTTTGGCCCAAAATAGTAGTTTAAAAAGGGTTTTTAAAAAATAGGAGTCGCCACTTGGTATTGAGTTAAGGTGTATCAAGTCACCTAAAATAAATTTTAAACAAAAAAGTAAAGAAAACCCTTTTTAAACGATTCCAAATCTTCGAAAATCAAAAGAAAAGTATTTGGGAATCACGTTTGAAGAAAGGGAAGGCAAGGATAAAATCCAAAGCACCCTTTCAACCTAGTCAGATTTAGTTGCGTGATTTAGTCGGAAAATTTTCTTAATTTAACCTAAAAACTTATCACATTTGGATGTTACTATATGGATGCAAACCTAGACCTAATGGCTATCGGAAGGGTCAATATGTCTATTCGAATTTTAGTTGGTGCAAATCGCATTAATTGCTATACCCAAAAGTGATTCTTTGAAGAGGTCACGAATATACAACAATGAGATTTGAAAAAAAAATAGAAAAAATTATAATATACAAATATACGTGACCTAAAAGAGAAAGATGCAACATAACGGGTACGGGGCCTAAGATTTGTGACTCAATTTTCCCTTTTATAGAGGGGATACGAGCGTACTAAGGCTAAAAGGTCATACTCATCCATATCCCATATTTAAAGGGTACTCCCTAACCTAATCAAGCAAATGCACTAACCTATTTCTAATTTTTCTTACATGGAATGTAAGTATAAATGTCATGTTTCACACGTAGGGATAAGAGATATACATATGGAGGAAATATCATACAAAAATGGTAAATATCTTAAAAAGTAGAAAATATGCATGAAATGTAATGATTTGTCACACAAAGATGGTCTAGCGCGTGGACGGTCCCTAAGGGTCTAGCGTTGGACTAGCTCATATATTCTCACTGGTGTTGGACTAGGGAGAAAACGGGAAAAAGGACCACAACTAGCGTTGGACTAGTGTGGTGACGTCATACATTTATTATAACTAAACAAATCATATAAAACATAACAAAAGCAAGTAAACACATAAAACACATAGCACATAAGTATGATATCTAGATGCAAAGACCCTAAGAAAGCGAGTAAACACGTAAACATACAAGCATGCAAACACATAAACAAATAAAGGCAAATAGAGACCTAACTATTACATTTGGGGACCCTAACTACAATCTAAAGGGGTAAAGAATGCAATGAAATAAAATAATAACCTAACTATTACAATTTGACATTTAATTACCTTTCAAAGAATTAAAAATTAAATTAAAATAAATATACAAAATTAAAAACAAATAAAGTGAATAAATAAATAAATAAAATAAATGTTGAAAAAACATGCAATTACACACATAAAATCACATAGGAGCACATAGGAAGATTTAAAATAACACAAGAAGATACTTCCCTTTGAAGTAGTAGCTAATGGGGGATTGGATTTGCCCTATTTAGCTCCAAAATTAACAAAAATCATCAAGGCACCAATTTAATTGACAAATAAATCATAAGGAAATGGAAATAAATATGAAATCTATCAATTTAGGCATTCAAAATGGAATATAATTAATAATTAAAAAAATATAAAAGCAACTTCTATCTAAGAAATCAAACAAACAAAGACTTAATTGCAAACATTGAGAAAATTTTAGGGGCTAAATTATTATTATTACAAAACTTTGGGGTCAAAAATTAAAGACAAGTAAAATTAAGGGCTCAAAGATTAAGCCTACCAAACCCAATGCTAAAAATTCATAAAAATAAATCAAATACCCACGAAAATATTATCCAAATCCTTAAATCTTTTGATAAAATCCAAATCAAAAAAAAATTATTAAAACTTAATTTTCATCCTAAAACTCATAAAAATCTGTCCAAAATCACATTAAAGTATGCCAAAGAAAATTAAAATTTAAAGGAAAAAAATTGGTTCTATTTTCCCAAAATTTGGGCCATAATAGGATTAAGCAAAAGTTGAAGGACCAAAACAAAATTTTCACAAAACTTTCATGCAGCCTGGTCGAAGCTTTCTATTACACCCTGCAAATTCAGAAGCTTTCTTGCTGCAATTTTTCTTAGCAGCTTATTGAACACAAATATTCATGCAAACTCAAACAGAATCCATGAATTTATCAACTAGAACCCAACAAGAATCACAACCCAACAAGGAAATAACACAAAAACATGAGATTAAAGCTCAAAATTCCCCCCCTTTCTTCCTTTTCTTCTTGGGTTTGCAAGCAAAAAAAGAAACAGAATACTTCCATTTGCATATTCCAAACAAATCCTCAAGACTTGTCTCA